CAAACTCCCTGTTTTGGACCAAAGTTGATAGCAGTGATTGATTGTGTGGGTTGATTTTAGCAGATCCAAAGGGTCGTCCAGTGAACAGATCGGTTCAGCTCATCTGCCTCTGTACCTGCGGGAGGGATGCAGGTGGATGGGGTAATTTTTCAAACGTGTTAGGAGCCATTTGCATGAGACTTCTGAGCGATGAGAACGAACAGCCTGATTTATAGTGCGTGCAAACCGGCGACCTGGTGAGGTGTGGGGAACCTGGGTGTACCTTTGCTTCCCTTGGTGTACCTTTGCTGGGGACAAAGGCAGTTCCCAAGGCTGGCACTGACCAGTGTTCCTCAGTAGCTTCCCTCTGCTCCTCGTGGCAGCACCTGCATCCAGTGCACAGGTGTGCTCCCTGTCCCCAGGCTCGTGTGGGCAGGCGACAGTTGTGCTGCTTGATCAGGATGGCATGAGGTCTTATTTCTGGCTTCAGAAGCAGCTGGAAGCAGGAATTTGAATGTCTCCCAGTTGGCATTTGATACATGAGAAGTAATCTCTGCTTTCCTTACCTCTTTCCCAAACTCGTGGTGTTTCCTCCTCGTGGGGCGCGCCGTGAATTCTCCCACTCACAGCACTGCCTCTCGTGCTGCTTTCGGCTCCAGTGGGGCTTGCGGAGGGGCGTTTGCTGGAAGCTGGTGAGCGTGGATGTCAGGAGCGGGGATCGAAGCAACACGTCTGTCAGGTGTGAGGCAGATTGTACCATCTAATCCCCCGGCTGTCGTCTGCAGCATTTGTCAAGGCCTCCGCTGCCCTGCTCCGATTCATCAGAGCTATCGCTGGCATTCATCTAGGCTGGCAGCGTTTCAACAGCTGTTAATCCTCTTTGTATCTTTAAACACTGTGACTACTGACAAGCTTCTATACTCTGAGGTGTCAAAATATCTCAAGATAGCTGGGGTGATGGTGGTTGAGTTTTGTTGTTTTTTAATCCAGACACCTTCTGATCTATTGACCCAGACTGAACCTGATGGAGAAATCTTTGTCCCAGTGTCAAGTTTTTAATGCTGCTTCTTGATGTTCACAAAGAATTTCACCTGAAATCTGATTAATTTCTAGTTCCCCATGCTTGTGTTTCTTGGTTTTCTGCTTTGCATGTTACTGCAAGTAGCGTGTGTTTCACTGAAGTTGTAAGGAATGTGGTTTAATGTCAATGTGAGAATGAGCTGGCAGGGTTTTTTCTTTATGCTTCAATTACTTTCCCTCCTGAAATAACCCTGAGAACTCAGTCTTCTGCTATATTGTTTTCTTACTTTCTTTGCTATATGTTCTGGAAAGGGCCTGGGCAGTGTAGCGAGGGTGTAGTAGTGAGTGTTGAGGTTTCTCTGCGTGTTTGCAGCCAAGGAGGAATGCTGAATTAAAATTACTCCAAATTTAGCTCTGAGTTTTAAGATTGATTCCTTTTTGAAGGGGAATTTTTAGCACAAGGGTGTTTTGGGAAGAGTGGGGAACAAGGGTATAGCAGCAAATCTGTTGTAGAAAAGCAGTAGGGTAAAGGAAAATGGTTCTGTTGCACTTTAGGCTCTAGTTATGTATTTTTATAACTTCTTGGTGTTTTTATTATTTGCTACGAACCATCATTTAATAGCAGGGAAAAATCTTTCAAACTAACATTTCTTTGTTTAGTTTGTTTGTCCTCTCTGGAGAGCTCTCTCCCCATATGACAAAGCTCTGATGTTCTGAAGTTGACTTCCCTAAGGCTCAGCTTTATTGAGAGAAGTGAAACATTTTAGGTGGTTCATTCATTCTTTCTGTGTCTTTTGTTATTTGAGCCCTTATGGTGTCCTTTGGTCATGTTTTTAAACTTATTTCTGCAACTAAGACTGCCAGGAGCTTTATTTAATAATAGTTGAGGTCTCATGTTCAACTTTTTCTTTGTGAGCTGCCATTTTATCTCAAGCATCAAATATTGTGAAAGTAAATTAAAAGCAGCATTGATGTCTTGTAATTTTGTGTGGAATGTTCTCTCTTTTACTGTGCCACTGAATATCGTTTTATGAAGATAAAGGACTTCACTAAGACTACGGACAGCTCAGACTTTGTTTCAAGTGCAAATACCACACCTTGATCCTGCTGAATAGCCCTTGTATGGAGGCGGCTCTGCTGAAGTTCGGGGAAGTGCTCAGGTGGTTCCTGGCTTGGTTTCTCGTTTGCAACCTTATTATAAAGGCCTAGATTGTTGTAGGTCACTGGAACCTTATCTCCTGCCATGGTATTTTAGGTAAAATCATGAAAATGAAGCAGATCTTGCCTTTGAAGTTGTGTAGATGAGGATACTTGGAAAATTATCCTCTCTAAGTAGAAACCCCAAATCAGAGAACCTGCTGTGACTGTGCCCATCCTGAAAGCCCCTTCTCTTGCCCAGTTAGCCCATTTGTTGCTCATTTAGTGTTTAGGACAAAAGGGAGTTGGCTTTCCTAGGGTAGGAAATGGCCTAAAGACCAAGGAAAACCTGTTTAATTAAATTCTGCTTGTTGAACAAACTCAGATTTAAATGGTAACTCCCTGTTTTTATTACTTGGGGAAGAATTTAAAGATGCTGATTCATAGCATTGGAAATACTATTTTATTGGTTTTTAGGGTTTTTGGATGGGGTGGGGGGAGGGAAAGAAGGTGGCAGAGATGTCTAATCCAAAGGCAAAAAGCCCAGTTGAACCACAGGCCAAGATGTTTCCTTTTAATTTTTTAAATACAGCAGCTTTATCTGCAGGTTGAAGATTTTCTGTGCCCCTCCCCAATCTTTGCATGGTGCCATGTGCCTTGTGATTGCTTCGATGCCAGGTCTTTCCTCCTTCCCCTCACTGAGATTCTTGCCTCTCCATTCAGACTCTCACAGAACTAAACCACAGGTTTATTTCCTGGCTATTTCTGTCTATGTTTGTAGTTGATGTTGTTGAAGATGAGCATGACTGTAGTGCTGGGCAGTTGAACTCTCTCTAATAAACTAGGCAAGGTTGTGCCACAACCACTTTAATCGACAGTACAACCAGCAAATGATTCTGTTGGCTATTTTTCCTTTCTTTAGGTGGGTTAAACACAACCTCATGCTGGGTCTCACGTACAACATATTTGTTCCTGTTTTCCTCTCCTGCTGCTGTTTCACTGCAGAGTGCTGCAGGCTAATAGTATCTGACGGGGCTACTTCCTATTGCCTGAAAAATGTTTAATTTTGCTACCTTGCTTTCTCTTTTTCCTAGTTTCTCTCATTTTGATCTTTCAGATCCAGTCCCTTTGAGAAATCAGACAGTATGAAATATGAAAATTGCTTGGGTAGTAATTGGAGAAATGGTGAGACCTATGAAGCCCAGTGGAGATAACGCTTACATCTACTTATTCACATTATTTAATTTTTAATGGCAAATTTAATTAATGAAGCACAGGTCTTATGGTTTCATGTGTGAATAAGTAACAGCAGGGAGCTGAAAGTCATGAGGTCTGTTTACAGGCCAGAGAAAAAGGCACCATTAAAAGCTGAACTTTTCAATATAGGAAAGAGAAAAATGGATTTAATAGCATGGAAGTTTGACCATTATGTAACAAGTAAACAAAAACATTAATGATAATTTACTGGCAAAATGCATTTTGAAGTGGTTAGTCGTCCATGATTTCTCAGTTTAAATTTGTCTCCTAGGTCAAAGTTTGGAAAAGCAAAATCTGTTCTGTGGTTTTTTTTGGTATGTGACATAAATTCAGGCGCCAGAGATAAAGAGCTTAAATATAGCACCTTGAAGCCCAAGCTCTGAAAACCTGTATAAACCTCCCAATTAGCTGAGCTTCACACAACTTCAGAGATACAGGCAGCTGTTATCCCTCACTTGCAGATGGAAAATGGTGACTTGCCCAAGATTGCACAAGTGGCAGAACCACTAATAGAACTTGAGTTATATCTGTCCTTTCCTTTTTCCAGCCACTGAACAGTATGTGTCTCATTCATGCACGGCACCACAGCTGCATTTATGGGAAAATAAATGAAGGAGGGCAAGAATAGTATTCTATATAAAATGACCAAATTTGGGGAGAGACGAGGTAGCAGCTAGAACCGGCCCTAAATGAATAGCTGTCCTCGCTTTCAATACCATTTTGTCAGGTTTTTTGATTGATTATTGCGTATTTTCTGCTCGTGCCTTTTCAGACTGAGAGCCTTGCAGATGAACTTTGAGTGAGGCAATTGCCTACGGAGTCCAGAGGCTTTGCTTAAAGCAGCTTTCCCAGTGGTTTAGTGACACAAGACCTTGTAGTGCAGTCACTGGGGGTGTGCAGCCATTCCCTCCTGCTGTTTTTGCTTGGGAAGCTCCTGAGTGCAGCCAAGAGGAGGAATTCATCCTCCATGTTCAGCGAGCGAGGAGTTGTGAGCTAAAATTCTTTCTGTGCAAGTTCAGGAGAATTTAATGCAAACCTCTTAAGCCCTGCAGCAAGACACTCAAGACTCTGTTTGGCAGCGCCTTAACTGATACCTGATATGCCTCCCTGTGTTGTTAAAAGGGAAACAGGCTGCGTAATTTTCTTTTAAAGAATAAGTAATGTAAGTAGAAGCACTGAAATGTAAAATGGATTTTCCAGTGCTAGCAACCAATTTTGATACTGGCATGTCAGTAACTTACAAGGTCCTTCACAGTAATTAATGAAAGAAGAGAACAAAACACCACCAAACACAAAATAACTGGGTGCTGGAAACACCTTGTTTTTCTGTAGTTGCATGGAATAACCAGAGCTGCTCGTTGATTGTTTGCAACCTTTTCCCTCTCTTCCCTTTCACAAAGCTGAAGCTTGGAATGGATGTGTTGTGGCCGTGATGCATTTTGCTGAAAATAAAATCGACTCTTAAGCATTTTTTTTTTGTGTTCTTTGAACTGAATATGCTGTTTGTTGTTGGAAATCATTATTAATTATAGAAGATAACTTTGTGACGGAATAAGATCTGAGATGCCTTTAATTTTTAGAGCTGAGCATTCTATTCTTTGTTTCAGAATGCAGAGATCTACAAGCTGACATCCGAGCAGTACCAGGAGGCAGCTGCCAAGGCAGAAGAGTGGATAAAGTGAGGAGCCATTTTTGTTCTTTTCAGCAGTTCCAGTCGCATTTCATAATGCTTTGTGTGTAGCCTCTGGATATTCCCATAAATGGAGAGTGAAGTTACCCTCCTGTCACGTATTGAGAGGGCTGAGGAAGCGTAAGCTACCATCTTCTCTTTCTGTGCCAAGCTCGACAGAGATTACTATGAAGTTATTAGATCTTGCAAGGGAGAATTAGGGGGAAGAAATGGGCTTTGAAAATTAATATTAAATAGGAATATTCAGTAGGGTTTTCAAAATAGCAGTGGAACATGTCTAATCTGTTTAAACTTTGACCCAGTGGATTTAACATACACATTGCAGCATTGGGCAGGTGCATGGGAGTAGGAAGAATGGCACCACTTCTAAAGCTTTCAGTGTCCAGGGAAGAAAAAGGTAAACAGTCTAAATCTTAGCCCTGGAATCTTCAATCAAACTGGAGTTGTAATTATTATTAATGCTTTCTTAGAATGTGTGCAGTGATTTTTCTGGCCTTTTCTATTGGCCTTGGCGCAATTAGTAGACCTTTAACGTTGTCTTTTTGCCATGAGCATATTTAGTGTTAAATTCTGGTTTTGTATTTGCCAGTACTGTCAGTGCATGTGGAACAATAAGCTATATAACAGCTGTTGAAGAAAAAATATTTTCTATAATTCTTTAATATTAATGAGACTAAAGCAATTACACTGTGAAAAGCAGCACTCAGATCTCAGTTGGGTAAACAGTTGGCCAACATGCAGTAAACTGGAGCAGCAGCATATGTAGTCCGGTTGGGTCCAATCCAGACTGTACAATACTTAATTGCATAAATAGATAATATAATAGTGATGAATATGTTAGTGGGATGTGCACTATATTGTGCTGTCTTTATTTAAAATTATGTTTGGCTGCCAAAGCGTCACATAACCTGTTGTAATTTCACATTTTTGTTTGGACAGTCAAGCAATAAGTTGCTAAAGAAACCAAAACAAGGCAGCTAACACATTGCCTGCATTTCCATGCTGTTTTCCATAGTAGAATTCTAAATTCTCTTTTTAAATAAAATTTAGAAAATTCATAGCACAAAAATTTCTGACAGTCTTTGATCAGTTCAGTCTTTCTTGGACTTGCTTCTGCAGATGTGTGATCAATTCTTGGAACTATGTGTAGTGGGGATTTGTTTTTGTGACTTGGTAAAGGAAGCGATTGAGACCTGGGACTATGTTCTTTACTTACTATTATAGACTGTGACCAACCTATTTTCTTATAGTAGTCTTAAGCTGGGTTCATGATGTTTTGGTTTCATTTGGCCTCTTTGTTTCTTGTGTAGATGAAGACTGGTAATGCAGGAAACTCAGGAATGCAACCATTTCTCGTAGGAGTTAGTGGCTGAGACCAGCACAAATGCTAATGAATTCTTTTAAGATTCAGAGAATGTGTTTATGGTCTCTTAGGGGTTTCTACCCCTTTTCTTTGAGCCTTTATCACTTGACAATCCCTGGCTTCTGACCTTACTGTACAGTGTTCTTCTATTTGATGGCAATATGAGCTTGATCCATCAGAAAGGGACAGATTCCTTGGGCTGTCGTCTTTGCAGCAGAAAGAGACACCTGCCCTAATGTGAATTTTTTGTGAAAAGAAAATGTGGCTGGGGTGTCTTGAAGGGACAAACTGTGTGGCAGTAGTGAAACTGAGGGTGAAGGTGAACATCATACATTCTGTTTCTTTACAGCAGAAGTTGCCAGCAGTATCCAGGATTGCACTGAGCTGGGCATTGGAGTTGCACGATCTGGGATGGGTAATGCCCTTTGATAACTGTGCATACAGGAAGAATCACTGCTTTACCACATCAGCCTGCAGTGTGTGTGTGTCTCTCAGAGCAGCATGCAGTAACATTCCTCAGGATCGTTGTGCAACACGCTGTACAAACACTCTTAAAGAGCATGTGTGCCTCACATGTGGGTCATGATAAGGGACAGGGTCAGGGAAGCTTCCTTCCTACATTGCTGTCCGTGCTCAACTGATAGGACTTGCAGTCTGTGTGTTGTGAGGTTCTCTTGTTTGGCACTGTACATTCAGGTCTTTCTGCAGCCTGTTTATGGTAATAAATGACAAGATCCTGTGTCTTCAGTGGAAGTTTTGCTCATCCTGTTTTGTGCTTTTGTAGTAGACATACAAGCAGAGTAGGTGTTAAGATAGGTTAGGCTGATTTATGCAGATCTAGTATTTTGGTTGGCAGGAATAAACTGACACTCCAGCAAAATTACAGGAATGGGAATATAGCCAAAGTATGAATGAAGTACAGGTCTGCCTGCTTCTAGTGCTGGACTACAACAGCTTCTTAAGGAAAGGAAACCAGGAGTGGCACTTTCTCCATCTGCAGAGGAGAGTTCATCTCCTTCACACAGTGTCTCTTCCCTATCTTGTATTATCCCTGTTCCACTGTGAAGACCTGGTGTCTGTGCCTTGTGAGACCAATCTGCCCTGTATTTGTTCTCTTCTACTGTTGTGTATCAGTGGAGCTGATGAAGGAAGAGTGAAATAGGGCTGGGGCTATTTCCACAGAGTGCCCTGTTTTTCGTAGTCCATGTTGAAGCAAAGAGAAGAAGCATCTGAAACAAACCCCCGGTGTTTTCTTGGCATTTAGTGACTTTTGTGATTCTTTTATCAACACTTACAACTCTGCACAAGTGGTCATGTGTCCCAAGGACTATTTCCTCTCCTTAGTCTTTCTCAAGCATTGCAGGATTTAGGAATATTGTACAAGCTTTTCACCAGTGACCCTTCACAGCATGCCTGTGAGGTAGGCGAGAAAACCTTCCTATCGCCCTTTCTTCAGAAACAGAAGTGAAGTACTTAGTGCTGAGCCTCATGTTAAATCACTGACACAGTCATTAGCTCTTGGTTTCCACTTCAAGGCTTGATACCTGCGTGGCCTGACTTGTGCAATGGACTTTGTTCCTCATCTCTTCACCTGAACCCAGGCTACTCCCGTCTCCACATTTCTCCTACCACAGTGTCTCCTTCTCCTTTGTTCTGGGCTCTGCCCATCCTGTTTTGTTTTTTTTTCCCCCGGGAAGAAGATCCTAGCAACAAGATACCACTTAGCGCAGCTTTCAGCACCTTAAGCAACTTGCCCTTGTTGCTTACATGCTGTGATGAATTGGACAGTTGCCACGGACATGTTGTCTCAATGATGTTGTTATAATTGGTGCATTATTATTTTTCTCTTTTGTTAACCAACAGAATTAAAAGTCAGGGGACCTAGAACTTTTTTCCCCCTTCTTTCCCTGTTTAGCAAACTGTGCACATCAGTAACCACCCACAAAGGAAACAGCGTGTAAATAAAAAGCCAGTGCTCCCCGCCCTTCCCTTCGTTCCACATCCTTTTCTCAGTGTTCATAGAGCCATGACTCAGACTGGGTTTAGAGAAGACAACTTGCTAATCCCCTCCCCGCTACAGAGAATAAAATGGCATTTCATTCCAAGCTCTATTAATGCGCTCGCTCCGGGGATAAAGCAGCACTCCCAGAAGGCAGTGGCCAAATTTTTTTTTCTGTTGCGTTGTCTTTGTCTTCTTTTGAGTGTTACATTTAGATTAGCTTCTGAGGATTAAATGTTATTACAGTCCCTGAATCTGTTAAGGGGAAGGAAAAAAACATCAGTAAAGAGGTTATGGCTTAGTGCAGCACTCCAGATTTATCCCCAAAACGCTGTTTTCTTAAAAAAAAAAAAAATTATTTCTTTTCCTTTGTGAAGGTTGTCTTATCACGTTTGGTTTCTTTTTTTTTTTTTTTTTATTATTTTTCTAGTTATTAATTTTGGATGCAAGAATTGGTCTGGGTGGGGGTGTGTCTCTGAAAGGTAAAGCTGCAGGAATGGGGTGAGGGGATTAGGAAGCTGTTAAAAGATAAAATTGTTCTGAAGCTGAGTTTCCCTCTGAGATCTCCTTATAGTTTGCAGAACTGTTTCTGAAGCTGCTCACTGATGACTGTGTTGCTTTGCATGTTGTGCTGAGAGGGCTGCTTATCCTTTGTGCTGTTATCAGGGAGTGCATAAAGAATGTCGGTATCTTATCCTGCTGGAGATCAGCCTGGAATCCAAGGCAGCTTTCCAATGGAGAAACTGCCAGAGATTTACTCCATATGGGACTTACTATCTAAGAGTTTCATTTGATGGTCCTAAGATCTTTAAACTTAATGGACATGAATCTTTAAGGTGATTACGTTAGAGAAACCAGTAAGTAGTAAGTATCTTCCTGGGCTGAACTGTGGGGTAGAAAACCACACAGACTCAGTGAGGGTAGGGGAAGAAAGTCCATAGATGGATCATCTACTGGACGCAGGGAATTTATGGCTTGCTTTCAGTACTCATGGAAATTAAGATTTTATTGAATTGCACAAGATTTTGAGGTTGATGGCCCCTTAATTAGAATGGCAACACTAACTGGGACCTGGAGAAACTAACTTTTTGTTTATGTACATCTGGAAAGTTTATAAAATAGTTCTGTGGTGATACTTGAGTTTGTTAATCTTGAAATCTACCATGAGGCCTTGGGTATTTCAACAAAGGACTGTGCCCAGGAGTCAAGCTCTGAAACAGTCATTATATGGACAGTTGTAAAGCCCAAGGAAAAGGGTAAAGACATCACAGTTTTCAAACAAAATTGCTCTGCGATTTCTCCCATCATTAGATTAGATAAATGATTAATTTAATGTTGAAATTAAGAGCGTCTGCAATAGGGATTTAAGAGTGTTCAGGAATGAGAGGCTGATTATTGCTGGAATCTGATCCACAACCTTATCTCAACATAGTGCTTTTGTGCCCTGCAACGATGTTACCTTCACCAAAATTATTTGGCTCCATCCGAGTCCTGTTCTTCTCTTTAGTGCTTGGTTTGTCTTGTTCCTTCTTCTGTCTGCACCGAGTCTGTTTCATAATCTTTAAATAAAGAGATGAATTATTAGTAAAAGCTTTTCTGTTTCCCACTTTTATAAAGTTGCTCTTA